AGCTGGTGAGATACAAATAGCCAGAAAGAAGGAGGAACACAGGCAAAGGCTGCTGAGGTGGGGAAAAATTTAATTTGTTTAAGGAATACTGAGGAGGTTGGAGTGGCTGGAGAGGAGTGAGCAAGAGCGTTACCAGGAGCTCTGATGTTTTTTCTGTTGTAACAGGAAGCATTGGAAGGCATTAAGCAGGGGTGAGCTAAGGAAGATCTCAATTCCAGATCTTCTGAAATTGAGAGAACTTGCGGACAGACTGGACGTGTAGAAGGAGGAAGAGAAAGAGGATGCTTCCTGGGTGTTTGACCTAATACCTGGACATGTGTGGTGCTAGTGGGCAAGCAGGGGTGGGGAGCAGGGCTGGAGGTGAGGGGCTACATGAAGTTAACAGATTGGGGACGTTCCTAATGCCTGAGGGATGGCCACGTGGAGCTGTCAAGAATGTGGTTGTGCCCTGACGAGTGTGGCTCAGTTGGTTGGGTGTCATTCTGAAACTGGAAAAGTTGGTGTTCCTGTTGCCCATCACTACCAGAACCAATAAGTAGAGACAAGGATTGAATCTTTATGGGCGCTGTTAATCAGATGACCAGCAATCTGAGAAAATTGCTGGTTATGTGCCCTAAAAGACCGTCTTACATCTCATCTCAAACGGACCATGCTTATAATGAGAAGCAAAGTGTAGGTAAGGGTTTTGGAATTCAGGGGAAAGTTTAATCAGATAAAAGCTGCAGTCTGGGGATTTTCCTAGCATCCTTTTATCTGTTGACCAGTGATTCTTTATTTGCATCCTGGGCAGTGGGTGGACATATCTCTCTGGAGCACAATGGTTCAGATACCATCTTGGTCACTTGTAGTCCTCAGTTCTCGTGAGGCACAAAGGTCAAATTGCTTGTGGGTCTCCTGGAGTCAGGGTGAGTCTGGTCATCCTAGTTCCTTAGCAATGGCTAAGGTTGCTTGCTGGTCAGGGCAGATTCCCAGGCAGGGCACATGCCTGGGTTGCAGGTTCGGTCCCTAGTCTGGACATGCACCAGAGGCAACAGGTCGATGTTTCTCTCACACATCAATGTTTCTCTCTCTCTCTTTCTCCCATCCTCTCTCTCTAAAAATAAATAAATAAATGAAATCTTAAAGAAAAAAAAAAAAGGATGATTGCTTGGCTGCATGAGTCTGACAAGGCCTTTGGGCTAGGGATAAAAACCCAGGAGTTGCCCCGGCTGGTGTGGCTCAGTGCCAACCTGCAAACTGAGAGGTCTCCAGTTCACTTCCCAGTCAGGGCACATGCCTGGGTTGCAGGCCAGTTCCCCTACTGGGGGTGTGTGAAGCCGACTGGCCGATATTTCTCTCACACGTTGATGTTTCTCTCCCTCCCTTCCACTCTCTCAAAAATAAATAAATATTTTTTAAAAATCCAGTTGTTAGGGTACAGCTGAGGCCAGATGAGACCGCCCTGGGGGAGAGTAGGGAGAGGAGGAGGTCCAAGGTCCAAGCTCTGAAATCTTCCAACCGTAGACATTGTAGACAATAAGAGAAGCCACAAAACAGAGAGGGTACAGCCAAGGAGAGAGGAAAGAAGCTACTTGCAGAGCTGTCAGGAAGTGTGTTTGCATCTGACCATCAGGAATCTGATAGACCCTGACCCCTTGGCCACCTTCCTCTTCACAGCTTTCTTCCATGAAATAGTTTTTGCTAAGACCCAGGGGCCACTCATGTTTCGTATTTTTACAGTGGTCATGTAGCTGTGGATGCCCTTAGTGAAAGGATAAAGTCAGCCGTGGCTGGTGTGGCTCAGTGCATTGAGCACCAGCCTGTGAACCAAAAGGCTGCTGATTCTATTCCCAGTCATGGCACATGCCTGGGTTGTGGGCTGGGTCCCCAGTGGGGTTCCATGAGAGGCAATCACACATTGCTGTTTCTCTTCTTATCTCCCTCCCTTCCCTTCTCTCTAAAAATAAATAAAAAATCTTTTAAAAAAATTTTTTAAAAAGGATAAAGTCTGTGCCATTTGCTATCATGGCACCATTTGCCCAGCAGGCCTATGACCTTGTTAAACATGACTATCATTTTACTCTTCTGAGCTTATGTCCCCAGGACTCGAAATTACTGGATAGCAAGAACAGAGCAAACCATGGCTCAAGCAAAACAAACTCCTGTATCACAACACCCCCAACAGCCCGGGGGCCACACAACAGCAACTCCCCACATCCTTTTTTAATTCAATTATTATCCAATAAAAGCTCAAAACCCCCACCCCTCAATGTTGGTATATTTCTCCACACTATGCCCCTCTCCTTTCTTGGAGAGTGAATAAAAAACTTTACTTTCTGCACCTTCTTCTCTTCATGAATTCTTTCACAGCTGACCACACTAACACTTAGGCCTAATGCATTTATTTAGTCTTCCTTGGGTCATGGATCCCTTTGAAACCTGATGAAAGCACCAAGAGAGGCTCTTCCTTGAAAAAAAAAAAAAAGAGTCTGGATTTTATGTGCCTTTTGAGTTTAGGACCCCAGAACACCATCCCCAGATTTTCAGATTAAGAAACTCCCCAGCCCCAGCTGGTGTAGCTCCGTGGGCTGGGTGTCATCCTGCAAACTAAAAGGTCACCAGTTTGATCCCTGGTCAGGGCACATGCCTCGGCTGCAGATTTTCAGTCCCCAGTCAGGACACATACAGAAGGCAGCCAATCGATGTTTCTCTCCCTCTCGTTCTCCCTCCATCCCCTCTCTCTAAAAAACAAAAACAAAAATCAAAATAAAATAAAACTCTTTAAAAAAGAACAGAAACAGAAGAAGCTCCCCAGCCTTTGTCTCATGAACCAGCTAGCAGATGTAGAAGTTATGACGCCTGAGTTGTTTCCTGCAGAATTATTAGTGTCTAGGCATGGAGCCAGGTCCCCAGAGTCAGCACTCAAGGCCCCTGCTGCTCCTCATCCTCCAGATGACTGAGCACTGGAGGCTGACACACTGCCGTCACCACCAGCTGTGTGACCTTTAGTGGCAGGGGCTCACCTTCTGAGCCTAAAGGCAGTGGGGTGGATTACTTAACAATGCAGACTGAAATTAAAGATGAGATAAGACTTTGGGTTCAGTTTCTGGCTCTGCAATTTACCTGTGACCTTGGCAAGTACTTAACCTTTCTAAGCCAGGGGCTAATGATAGCTCTCTTATCAGCTGGGGGGTGGAGGCTGGTACTCAAGAGATAAGCCATTCAAGATTGCACAACCAGGGTCTGTCAGACAAAAATGCTCTGGTCAAAAAAGGCCACCCACGTCCCTTCCAAAAGGCAGAGCTAGAACTACTTCACGGGCAGTAGAGTGGCTACTATTAAACCCCAGAAAGTAACAAGTGTTGGCAAGGATGTGCAGAAGGTGGAACCTTTGTGCACTGTTGGTAGGAATGCAAAAACGGTGCAGTCACTGTGGAAAACAATATAGTGGTTCCTCAAAAAATTTAAAAAGAATTATCATTAGACCTAGCAATTTCACTTCTAGGAATATAACCCCCAAATTGAAAGCTGGAACTTGAAGAGATATTTGTACACCCAGCATTCCTGACAGTAGTCAAAAGCCAAAAGCGACCCAGGTGTCCATCGTCAGATGAATGGATAAACAGAATGTAGTACATACTATGGAATATCATTTAGTCTTAAAAGCGAAGGAAATTCTGTCACATGCTACAACATGGAAGAATCTTAAGGACATTGCACTCAGTAAAATGAGCCAGACAGAAAGGACAAATACTGTGTGATTCCACATATGAGGTCCCTAGAGCAGACGAATTCAGAGACAGAATGGTGCTGGGTGGGGGGTGAGGAGTTAATGTTTAATGGGGACAGAGTTTCGTTTTGGGAAGCAGAGATGGGTGGTGGCGGCAGCTGCACAACAATGTGGACATACTTAATGCCACTGCACTGGACACTTAACAGTGGTTTAGATGGTAAATGTTACGTGCATTTTACCACAATTAAAAATACATGTTTAAAAAAATCAAAGCAAGCAACTGGGTAGTGGTGGGAAATGGGTTTGTAAACAAGATTAGCCAAGATGACAAAATGGTCCTGGGCTTGTGGGAAACAATACACATTTTTTCCCCAAAGTCTCTTTGTTTCTCAAGCCCTTCTGAAACTGACAAGCACAGAGCCTTCCGCTCAGAAATACACAACTTTGCCTGAAATTCCTGGGATTTCCTAAACCCTGTGAAAGCCCCGCCATTGTACCCTGGTTGAACAACCCAGAGGTGAAACAGAGGAAGTGAGAAGTCAGGAGAGCAGTCAGGCACCACCAGTTCCCTCTGCCGAGAGCCAGAGGAAGGGCCCCGGGACGGGGCCAGGCCAGGGGCCCCACTTCCTGTCCCGGAGCTGGTGCCCCCAGGGAGTGTTTGTGCAAAGCAGCGGAGCTGCACACTTTTGTACTCACTTGTGCATAAAATGTGTGCACGCTATACCTCGAAAAATAAAACAGCAGAACATTTCAAGACCCAACCTGTTAGAGAAAGGTCTGGTGGGAGATTCTCCTGAGCGTTGGCAATGGTGGGTGTTTACACTCAGTGGGACCATGGCACCCTCCACCCTGTCAAACATTCCTGTATTGTTCGCATTTTGCCTTTTACAATTGCTGTGAAGTATTCCGTCATCAGGAAAAAATAACCTGCAAAGGTTTTGTTTGCTGTCTTCACTGCGGGTGATTGTTAGAACTTTCTGCCACAATGGCAGAGTTTTCTGTCCCTGGAGCCCAATGCCACAGCCACCAGCCCCTGTCAGTGACCCCAGGCACAAGTTAATCAGTTCACGTTCCGATGGAAATACCCACGTCCGTCTGCTGCCCACAGGATGGGACAGTGCTGGTCTAGGACAGAGCATGAGGGAGTTTATTTTACAGTCTTGTCACTTTTTTGTAGGTAGCTTTGAAATTCAAAATAGGTAAATTCTAAAAAGGGTATCCATTTTAAGGCTTAAAGAGGAATCAAAGATCAGACACAGATCAGACAAAGACAAAGATCAGACAGATGTCGGCATTATCATAAGGCAGCTTTATTAAATTCCTTTACCTTCTAAAAAACGGTTACAAAAGGGAATACTTCACTTAAGTGTAATACTGTCTGCATGGACGTACCGTGGTTGGAAAGTCAAGGCCATGAATACACGTGAGAAGAGAATGGGGACAAAGGCAGCGCACCCGCAGCCTACCATGCCCAGCCCAGTGGGTACCAGTGGAGAGGGGAACACACGGACAAATATGGATTTATCGGCGCAGAGGGTGGTGTGTCAACGAGCCATTTCTAGAACCTTAAAATAAACACCCCCCCCCCCACCCCCCGGCTCCAGGCCAGAACACCCAGGCACACAAGTCCGTACCGCTGCCCAAGGCTGCCCACCGCTGCAGCCTCCCTTCGGACACCAGTGGCCATCCTCAGGCAGCTGTGCTTTTGCTTTCTCTCCAACTCTCTCTCCCTCTCTCTCCCTCTCTCTCTCTCTCTCACACACACACACTGGAGTGCCTCCCTCCTTTAACCATTCAAGCTCTTTTGTCTTAGATACCAAGTCACAAAGATTTTCCCTTCAATCAAAATCAAAGCCAGCCACTCTCCATTCAGCCAAGAAAACCGCTTCTGCAGGAGAGAAGCCAGCGTGAGCACTCGGGCCTGGTCTGCCCTCCTGTGGTCTGGCTCCCACCCTGGTGGCCGAGCTGAGAGCGTCACAGAGGGCAGGACGCCTATCAACTAGGGGTCCTGCTCCCCTGCACAAGGCGCTTTTTCAGGATCAGAACCAACCCCTTTTCTTTTTTTGGTTCACAAAGGGAAGGAACAGGAAAGAGAACTATGTTGAGATTCTGGGGACAAAACAGGCCATTAAGGAAACTGTGAGTGTCTGGCGAGCCCTATTTCCAGCAGGCTCTGCTCCAGGCAGCTCCGGAAAGCCTGTAGGTTAAAAAAAACCAGCTGGCCCTTGTTTGGTTTTAGGCAAAGCCCTGCCTCTTTAAGTTTGCGCTGGGAGCCCTCCAAGGGCAGCCAGCTTTTAATCGCGCACACATGGGGTTTCTGGAGCGCCCGTGCTCTGCCAGCAAGCACTCAGCCTGTTTTCTTTCCTTTGAAGAGAGAAATCCTGGAGTCTGGGGAGGGAAAGGACTCCCCGTAACCCGGGTTCTAAGCCCAGGCACTCAGCAGCTGCTCTGGAAACAAGATTCATTGCCTGTGTCTCCAGGTCTGAGAGATTTTCTAGGAAAATTACTATTTGCTGGGGCCTCCGTGAAGGGAGGGCTGGCTTTGGGGGTGACTTCTTGACACGAACTGCTCACACGTCTCAGTTCACACACCTCAGCCGGCTGGGTCCCGAGGCCCCTCCCACCACTTGAATGGGGGCGACAAGGGCAGTGGCAGCGGGCAAATAGAAGAGACTAGTTTTTCTCCTCCAGGTGACACGGACAGAATCTGTTCTGTGAAGACACCAAAGTTCCCCCCAAGAAAGCTGCTGGGGGGAGTGGACAAAGAGCTGTTATCTACGAGACAATTAAATGTGGGGGGCACAGGAGGCATTAAGCCACTCCAGACGCTGCCCGTGCTTAACAACATTCACGATTAAAATGAAAATATGCAATTCCAGTGACTTTCAAATTTGGCAACAAGTAATATGATTTCCCTCCTTCCCCGATGATGATTCAAAAACACAACATGCTCCCCTCTCCCCGCCTCCATCCATCACTGCCAGCTGATTGTTCTCAGTGCTCCCCACGGAGCCACGTCCCAGCATCAGCCACTGGCGCCACTTTATGTGAGAATGGAGCTTCGGTCTGCACTGTGGCTGCTTTGAACTAGGGTACTGGGAAAAACCCACTTTAAGCTGGAGTCTTGTTACTGTTGGGGACTCCCCCTAGGAAGCAGGAGAAAAACCCACTTGCTTCTGAGACTTAGGCCTTGGTGGGTACGAGGGGGGCTGGCCAGGGAGGGGACCAGGGACGGGGAAGAAGGGGGGAGGGACGGTTTGCTTTGGGGCTGAGTGGCCCGTGAGGGCAGGCGCCTCTGGCTCCCCGTCATGGCTACTCTTCTGCCGAGGACGATGCAGGGCTTTCGTCATCTGACATGGGGGCAAACTGAAACGAGAAGCAGAATTCCTTGTTTGGCATCCTTGCCTCCGAGGCTGCGGTTCCGTCGGCTAGCCCTGTGGCTGCAGTGAGTGAACCGGAGGCTGGGACCCCTCGGCCGCAAGGTGGTGACGTTGTGGAGGAGATGCCTCAAAGCAGCAAATAAACACATGCAGCAGGGGATTTTCATCAGGTGTGAGGGATGGAAGGGACTGAAAGTGGACAGCGGGTGGTCAGGCAGGCGGAGGTCTGAGCTGGATGATGCTGAGGGGCCAGCCGAGCGGGCAGAGCAGGGCATTTCAGCAGCAGCAAGAGACAGTGCCAAGACCTTGAAGCGGAGCGGCGAGCGACTGGCTGGCGTGGCTGGAGCTTCGTGAGCAAGGGGGAGGACGGACATCGGACAGTGGGGTGGAGGTGGGGGCGGTTGTACAGGGCCTGGCGGGAGCCACAGAGGGCTGTGAGAGAGGTGCTCTGACTCAGGGGTCCACAGGGACCTCTGGCTGCTGTGGGGAGAGCAGGCTGGAGGGGACAGTAAGAGTGGGAGCCAGGGGTTGCGGGGGCCAAGGTCGGAGGCAACGGCGGTGGTCTAAGCAGACAAGGATGGGAGACTGGAGTCGCTGGGGGCAGCAGCACGGATCGGAGAACACAGCACCACCAGCCCCATCGCCCCCATCTTCCAGTTGAGGAAGCCGAGGTCCAAGGCTGACCCCCAGGTGACCCTGAGCACCACCACTGAGGCCCAGACACCCTGAAGCCAGACCCACTCGGAGCCTCAGAAGAACCTGGGAGCTAGGCGGAGATGGATGGCGCATGACTCTGCCACCTTCCCTCTTTCGGCCCGTCGGGGGAATTGCTGTGGTCCACACCCACCGTGCCTCCCTTGAACCAGCCCCAGATGCGCCTCGGGGAAGCCAGGGCAAGCGTAAGGTGGGGGTGAGGAGGAGAGGGCGGCAAGGCTCCTGCCCAAGGTCTGGAGACAGATGGACCCCAGGGCCTCTGCCCCTTCCTGGCTGTGAGACCTTGAACCAGGCAGGGATGTAACCATTCTAAGCCTTAGCTTCCCCACCTGAAAAATGCAAATAATGATAGTACTTAGTGCAAACAAATTGGGTTGTGGTGGAAGGTTCAAGAAATCACGTCCTGTAGGCACTTAGCATACCGCGTCCTCCATCACGCGTGAGGACCTACGGCAAGTGGGCCTGTGTCCCCCATCTGTCAGACCAGGTGGTCACTCTGGGGGCCTCCGAGGAGTGCCCCTATTTCTCCCACTGGACTGGAAGGGCTTTCCTCCATCAGGCACTTAGGACACAGCTAGTATCAATATTGTCCTCCTATTACGCTTCTGGAGAGTGTTTTGCTAACAGGAAAGATTTTTTCAAAACCCAGATTTCTGCAGTCAAATAAGAGAAACACTGGGTTAAACCAACCCAGACAGATGAGATTTCATTACAGTGAGACTTCTCAGGATCTTTAATGCCCTCACAGACTTGAAGTAAATGCCAAAGTCCTCGCTGTGGCCTGTGGTGTCACCCCTGCCCTCAGCTCCTCCCTCAGACACAGCGGGAATGCGCCTGCCCCAGGGCCTTTGCACTCTTTGTTCCTTCTGCCTGCAGAGCCACAGAACTTGCTCCCGCACTTCCTCAAGTGTTGGCTCAAATGTCACTGCCTCATCTGTTGCTCCCTGTCCCTCATATCCTGTTTTATGTTTCTTCCTAGCACTCATCATCCTCTGGCTATGACACAATAATCTGCTCACTTTGTCTTTTATTAGAATGTCCGCTCTGCGAGGGCAGAGACTTCTGTTTTGCTCAGAGCTGTGATGGCCAGGGCTGAGGACAGGGCCAGAGACAGTTGGTCTCTGCAAATATTTCTCAGATGAGTCAGTGGTGACTAGGAGCATGCATCTGGAACCAGAAGGATCCGGGTTCAAGTACTGTTAGGCCGACTGAGACCATGTCGTCTCAGCTGTCTGTGACTCATTTCCTCGGGGGCACCACGAAGGTTCAACAAGCAGCTGACCAGTAAGTCCCTGGCTCGGGGACCTGTACACTGCCAGCTGTCCATGGACGCCCACACACCCAGAGCCCCCAACCCCTGCCCTGCGAGGGCTGACACTCACCGAGCACTTGATGTTCATGCGGGAGTACAGCATGGACGCAATCTCGCTCTGCCCCGCGTCCAAGGCCACCATCAGAGCCGTGCTCCCGTCCTGTAAAGCATAGTTGCCATAGCAACACCCGGCACCGGGCTCCCGCCCACCCCGAGGAGCACCCGAGTGTGGACTCACGCGGTCAGTGAGCGAGATGTCGCAGCTGGGCACCGCCAGCAGCAGCCCCGTGATCTCCTTGTGGCCGTGCTCGCAGGCGCACATGAGGGCCGTGGAGCCGTCATCGTCCTGCATGTTGACGTCTGCCTCACAGGCCAGCAGGGCTTTGACCACGTCCACCCGGCCGTGGCTGACCGCCAGCATCAGGGCCGTCTGCCCTGCCTGCCAGGGCAAGGAACGGGCTCATGAACTGCACAGGTCCCAAGGTATGTCACCGGGGCTCGGGACCCCTCCCTGCCTGCTGCCTCAGTCACACCCCTCAGGGCTCAGCTTCCAGGTCTCCTCCTTAGGGAGCAGCCACTTGCCTCTCCAGCCCCACACCCACCTAAAGCAAGTGCCTAACTCACAGGTGTAAACATACGTCAACATTTATGGAGCTAAGATTTGTATACTGTTCTGTGTGTCAGTTGAACCTCAATAAAAATTAAATCAGTGTTCACCAGTAGATGAACAGATAGACCAGCTGGTAAATCCATGCTACAGAACATTATTCAGCCTTAAGACCAATGAGGGACTAATGCATACCGCACCGCGGACGAACCGTGAAGACACTATGCTCAGTGAAAGAGGATGGACACTAAGGACACATGCTCCTGGACTCCATCATGTGAAATGCCCACAGCAGGGAAATCCATGGAGGCAGAAAGCAGACTGGTGGCTGCCAGGGGGTGGGGAGTGACTGCTCACGGGTGCAGGGTTTCCTAAATTTAGGGGTGATGGGAATGTTCTGGAAGTAGATACAGGGGCCGGATGCATACCACTGTAAATGTGCTAAAAGGCACTGAATTGTGCACTTTAAAAAGATTAGTGTTATGTGATTTGCACCTCAATTAAAAAAAGTAAACCACTAAAAAATTATTTCTACTTAAACACAATGACATCAGTAAGAAAGGCAAGCAGGGTCTGCTGCCCTCGCAGGCCTCTGCAGCGCCCCGTTTCCTTCCTCCCTGCGTTTATGCCCTTGCAACTCCCTCCCTCCCTCCGTCGCCTCTAGTGGCTTCCAGCAGCCTGAGTCCAGCTGCACTGCGAGCCTCAGGCTGCCTGAAATGCTGGTGGCTCCCGGATCCCCCAGCTGGCTAGTGAGCTTCAGGAGTGTGGGGACTGTGCCTGCTCACCCACCGTTTGAGCCCCAGCACCCACTTGCTGCCTAGTGAATTACCGAGCGGCATGTGGGACAGTGTCAAGTTAACAAAGGATCCCACGTCCTCTCCCAGCCCCTACCCATTTCCACCAGAAGGTCCTTCATCAGAGACAGCCTGGAGGGCAGGTCATAAGAACAGAACTCTGGAGCTAGAACCCCTCTGTTTGAATCCCCCCTCCTCTAATCTGACCTTGAGGAAATGACTCTGCTTCTCTGAGCCTCAGTGTCCTTGCCTGTAGAGTGGGGACTCTCCCCTGGGCATGGAACGAGATCATGTTTGGGCTTGGTGCACAGCCAGGACTGAGTAAATGGGAAGGACTGCCCACGGTTGTAGCTCCGGGGGCCCCGTACCTGGCTGGCTTTGGCATTGACATCTCCAAGCCGTAAGAGCTGCAGGAGAGTCTCCATGTCATCCTGGTTCTTCAGGGTGGCTAGGGCCGTGAGCATGATGGGGCTATAGCCAGCACGGTTCTGTTTGTCCACCTGGCAGACACCTGCGGGGAGGAGCAGGGGCAACATAGGCCCTCAGACCACGCTGGCGCTGGCGCAGGCCAGGCCACATCTCTGCTGTCAGACTGATAGCTCTGTTTCACTCTTCTGTAATAAGCCCTGGGTCTCCTCCATCAGCCTGGGTATGGCCTGATTCCTCCCTTCTCTCAGACTGAGGACCTCGTTCTGCTGCAGGGTGTCCGTCCCCACTCTGACACCCTGGGGATGTGTGGCTCCTCTGAATGGGCCCACTCCATTTGCAAGTGGAGCTGTTCCACTCCTCCATCAAAATGGGGCCCTGACACTGTCACCCACATTTAGGGCTGAGGGTAGCAGCTGTGTCTCCCTCATTAATCTGAACAGCCAGTCCCCTTCACATGGCCTAAGTCTCCTCCATCAGGTTGCAGGCTCTGCCTCCTCCATCAGACTAGGATCTGTGTCTTCCCAGGCAGAGCCGGGAAAGGAAAGTCTTTTCCCGTTGAACAGAGAACCACGTGATCCCTCCAAGCCCCAGACTGCCCATCCCGCAGCCTGGGGTTCTGGAGGCGTGACTCCATCACGCAGGGGTCTGTGTGGATGGTGAAGGGCTGCGTGTTTTCCCCAAGACCATGGCTGCCCTTTCCAGAATTTTGGGGCCATAGGGAGGGCTCCCATCTCCCCCATCAAACTGGGAGGGTGGTGTCTCCTCCACTAGACTGGAAAGGCCATGTCTCCCCCTATCAGGCCACCAAACTGAGGAGGCAGCTGGCCCGTTCCCCTGGGCCCCTCGCCCAGCCCAGCTGGGCCTACCGCTGTCCAGCAGCTGCCGCACCACTGGGAAGTTGGCGTGCGACACGGAATAGTGCAGCGCGGTGTTGCCATTGCTGTCGGCGATGTTGACCACGTAGTCCAGCAGCCGTGACGACATGGCCCGGAACGTGATTAGGTGGCGCCGCACAAGCTCAGGGTGGGCATCACTGCGGCAGGCCAGACGCAGCCACTCCTGAAGCACCGTGGTGTAGGCCACTTTCTGGATGCAGGTTGGAGAAGAGAGGGGTGTGAGCCGCAGGCTCCGGGGCTAAGCCGCAGGAGGGGAGTGTGGACACCCCTATCCTGAACCCCAGCCTTGAAGAGGGAGTGTGGATACCCCACCCAGACAGGCCCCTGGATTAAAGTGTATCCCCACCCCAGACAAGGACCCTAGAGGGAGGTGTAGACACTGCAGTCCAAGATCTGCCAGATGTTGTGAGGTCTCCATCCTGGATATGGCCTTCAAAAGCAAGTGTGGACACTGAGACAGGGAACTAGGGCAGTCCCGTCCCTCAAGCCCCAGAAGGACCAGGGACCGAAACCAGGTTTGCCAGCAGGTAGTCATCTTTGGGCCCCTCCCCACAGCCCTGGCCCCTCTCCAGGTCCACGACTCAAGCATACTCCCTGAGCAACCAGGGCCCCCAAGGCTTGCACAGGGAGGCACTGCAGATGAGGAAAAGCCAGGGTGCAGGGGAAAGAGACCCTCCCAGCCCCAAGGCCCTGCCGTACCAGCTCCCGCTCGGTGAGGGCGTTGGGGTTGTCCAGGTACTTCTCCAAGGCCAGGCAGGCTGAGATGAGGTCAGGGCTCAGCTCCATCCTGCCAGGGAGAGGTGGTTTATTTCAGCCCTCTGGGTTCCCTGACTTCCCATATCTGGCTGCAGCACTCCGAGAGGGCCTCAGTGGGCCCCACTGTGGCCCTCACTCGGGCCTGCCAGGGCTCACCTGAGTGGTGGAGCCTCAGAGGCCCCTGTCCCCGAGAACAAATTTTTGTAATACTATATACCCCATGGGGCAGACATGAGGAACAGACTACAAGAGAAAGTGGACACACAGGCTAGTTTACCTCATATGGTTAGGAGCAGATGGAAAATCTTTTCCCAATGTCAGATTTTTCATCAAGGACAAAAAGGAATAAATAGAATGAACAGATGGGGCAAAAATGTCCCCAAAACGTGTGTAGCTTAAGGACTTTACCTGCCCCCTAAATCTTAACCCAATAACTCAAATTGCCCCCACTAGGTCCTTCCTCAAAGTGCCTAGACCTTCAAGATACTCAGGAGAAAGGTCTTCTCTGCTAATTTAGACTAAGGTGTGCATGACTGGTGGGATGTTCATGCAAAAGGCTTAGATGATGGGATTTGAGGTTATCCCATACATAACCCTGGCCCTGCCTCCCACACAGACAACTGACCGGATCTCCTCCTCCACATTTGATCCTGATGCCCCTTCAGCTGTGGGCACATGCTGAGACTCCCGAGATAACTGGCACTCCTCCCGGCTGTTCTTGGTCACTGTTGTCCCCATGGGCCTGAGTTGGGGAGCTTCGGCCACACTCGGCACCCTCGCCTTGGGCTCTGGGGTCTCGTTCTCTGTGCTCTCATTGTCCGAGAAGTTCTCTGCTGTGCTGGAGTCCTCAGATGAGGACTCACACCTGGGGAAAGGGGATGGGCAGGGTGGGAGAGATGCTGTAGGTGGGACGGGGGTGGGGGAGGGGGGATGGGGCTTGACTACTAGACCTCAGTTTCCTTATCTGTTAAATGGGGATAATGTCAGTAGGACCTCACAGGTCTGCAGGAATGTGGCTTACGGCACCTGGCACAGAGTAAGTGCTGAGTAAATACTAGCTGTGCCAGGGATCACACAAGGGAGGTGCTGCTTTTCCCTTCTACCCTTCAATTCTTCTTACATGCTTTGCTGCTTACACAGGTGTTACTGATTCAGACTCTCACCCCACCTCAGATGGGACCCTCATGCTTCTTGCTTCATCTGGACGAAGTCTAAGCTACCTGGCATTCGAGGTCCCATGTCACCCTGCTTCCTCTCACCTCTGAGCCTTTATCTGGGCTATGCTCCCCAGCAGCAGAGCCCCCACACCCCCCTTTTCCCTTTGCTACCTCCTACTGTCCTCCAGCACATGTGCCCCTCCTTCAGGGACTTCCTGGCAGGCACCCACGCCTCCCCTAGATCACACATGGCCCAAGTATCCCCATCAATCATTGCTCCAACCACCTTGCCGAAACCGCCCGTCAGGGCCTGACACCTGGCCACTTCATCAGGGCAGAGAGCGGAGTCTGGCACCTTCCAGGGAGCAATGCAGTGCAGTGCTCACAGCACTGGCTCTGGAGCCAGGGTGCCAAGGTTGACTGCTGATCACCAGCTGAGCTCCAGCGAGGCACTCAGCCTCATTGTGCCTCAGTTTCTTTGTCTGTCTATTGTGCTTAAGTTAAACGAATGAATCAAAGTGAGGGGCTTAGACCAGGTCCTTGGTACATTCTTGGAACAAACAGGGGTGTGGAAGCTGGGGAGTGGGGTGGGGGCTCCTCTCACCCTCCATTGACTCCCACGCACTGGAGGCTCTGCTGGTGGTCCTCGGGCTCTGTAGGCTCCTCTTTCCGCTTCATGATGGACCGCACGCCCTCCTGGAGCCCACCTGAGGGGAGAGGTGGTGTCACCCGGGTATCCTGAAGCCAGACCCCATGCCCAGGCCTCCAGTGCCCCATCCCTCTTGGCAGCCACCCCCACTTACCTCCACTTCTGGTCTCCTCTGACTCACGTGGGGCTGCTTGCCTGATGGGCTCCCTGTTGGTACTGTCACCAGTGGGTACCCAGCCTGCATTCTTCTTGGGCTGCACCAGGGAAGCTGCAGCGGGCCCTGGGGGTGACAAGGATGACTCTGCAGGAGCCTGGGGGAGACCTGAAGACACAGGAAAGAGGCACTCACTGTAGGTAACAACAGCAAAGCAGAACCAGTGATGATAACTGTCTCCCGGAGTCAGGGGCTCTGAGGGCTAATTCTTACATGACTTCATCAAATCTCTCCAGCCCATGAGGAGAAATTGGATTATTACAGACAAACAAACTGAGGCACCAGAGAGTTGCCCAGTGACTGAGCAGAATTTGATTCCAACCCTGGTTTGTTGCCCACCCCATGCTGGTCAGGGACAGGAAGACCCAGTGACCCCACAATGCTGGCTCATGCCTCTCCGACAACTAAGTGTTGTCGGAAACCAGGCTTGTTCACAGCTGAGTCTGGTGGTCATTGCAGGGAATCATGTCTTCTAGGAGTGAGCTATGGGACCTCAGGTAATTCACTTAACCTCTCAGTGCCTCAGGAGCATGACACTCCTGCTTCCTGGCATCTCATGCAGGCTGAAGACAGCAAGGTGGGATGAAGAGCTTAGAACAATGCCTGCACTTCAAGAGTGCACAGGAAGCATCTGCTAAACCCTGGCTTTGTAGCTAAGCTGGTTAGAGCATCATCTCAGATATGCCAAGGCTGTGGTTTGATCCCTGGTCAGGATACATGCAAGAATCAACAAATGAATATATAAGTACATGGAACAGCAAGTCAGTGTCCCTGTTTTGTTCTCTCTCCCTTCCTCTTCCTCTCTAAAATCAACCAATAAAAATTTTTTTAAAAAAGAAGCATCTGTTACTTCAAGCGAATTGTAAACTATATTTTGATGAGACTTAATAATATGATTTTTTAAAAGCAGGATTATGCTAAAGAGAGGGAGGAAGAGAAACATCAATGTGTGGTTGCTTCTCACATGCCCTCTACTGGGGACCTGGCCTGCACCCCAGGCATATGCCCTGACTGGGAATTGAACCTGTGACCCTTTGGTTCGAGGGCTGGTGCTCAATCCACTGAGCCACACCAGCCAGGGCACCTTTTTTTCATTCTTTACTTGATTTTCAGCAGGTGTTACTTTACTAAAAAGGAAAAGGAAAGAACAGAGCTATTGGAAAATGCCCATTAAAACCCCACCAGGCAGAGTTTCCATTTGGGACGATGAAACAGTTTTGGAGGTGGGTGGTGGTCACAGCTGCACAGTAGGTGAATGTGCTGAATGCTGCTGAACAGGCCACTTTAAAATGACTAAAATGGGAAGTTATCACAATTTTTTAGAAGACCCACCTAGCTTGGTCTAAGGACAAAGGTGACTTTGTGGGCACCAGGCCCTGAGGGTGACCACCATCCATCCAGGAATGCAGCTGGCAGGGAGCTCCAGCCCCAGATCACCAGCCTGGACGAGGAACAAAAGCCCAGTCGCCACCGAGCGGCTGCCAAGTCTTGGAACAGTTTGGGCCCCCCCAGGCCACGTGTGGCTTCCGTGTCACCGCTTCCCCAGGAAGTCCCCTTCCTGCCACTGGCCATGGACTCCAAAGAGCAATTCATCTAAATTCTGTTTAACAGTGAAAACTGTTCTTGACATACACAGCAACTACTTCCTCAAGTCCCTGGGCAGCACTCAACTCAAGAACAGGGAGTGAATACTTGGGACGAGCACAGAGGAAAGAGAGACACTTGGCCACGAACACGCTGACGGCACTCCAGCCCAGGGCGGGGCTCGGGCTGGGCCCATTCCAGAGCTGGTTTTTACGTGAGCCTCTGATTTTTTTTTTTTTTAAAGAAAATCCTGTCAAAAAATTCACATGAAACAAACAAGAACAGTATGTGGCCAAGTGAAACAAGTCAGGAGGCAGATGGCCAGTTCACAGTCCCCGTGTGGGCCCCACACTCACGCCCTGGATTTGAACACCTGGGGGGTCAAAAAGATCAGGTAAAGCAATATTTTGCTGAGTGACACAAACCAGGCACTACAGGATAAATACTGTGTGATCCCCCACACAGGAGGTCCCTAGAGCAGTCAGATCCACAGAAACAGAAAGCCGAACAGTGGGAGCCGGGGGCTGGGGGTGGGGGTCATTGTTCCTTGGGGACGGAGGTTCAGTCGGGAAGATGGAAAGTTTGGGGATGGGTGGTGACAGTGGCTGCACAAAAAATGTGGCTGCTGAATGCCACTGATCTGGACACTTAAAAATGGCTGGTAGCAGATTTTATGTTATATGTGTTTCAGCACAATTTTTTTTTCAATGAAAAATGTAAAATGGAGTAGCACCTGGCCCACTCTGCCCCCAGGGCAAAGCAGGCACTGCCTCCAAAAGCTTGGGTGGCTCCTTCCAGTGTGAGGTCAAGGTCAGACACTACAATGCTGAAATAACAATAACAGTCCTAAAAAGGATGATAGTTATCGCTATTATTTCACTGGGGGATGGGGCAAACTGATAGCAAAGTTTATATGGAAAAACTAAAATCCATGACTAACTCAGACAATTTTACAACAACAGGCAGAGATGGGGAACCCAGCCCAGGAGCGTAGAACATACTCCGAAGCCAGAGCCGCCCGCAGCGTGGTGTTGTGACGAGAGCAGACGCCAAAGGAACGGAGGAGCACGAGCTTCTCAGGGAACTGGAGGGAAGACAGAGCAGTTTCCCCAGACCAGTGGGTGAGGGTGGGCTCTGCGGTGTGGCGCTGGAAAAGCAGATTACTCTAGCCAAGAAAAAAAAAATCTAGCTGGAACCCTACCCCAGGCCTCACACAGAAGATAAACTCCTAAGGAATGATATGAAGGTACAACTGCAAAGCCACAGGAAGAAAATGTAGAATATTGGGGGCCTCAGGAAGGGGAAAGATTCCTTCAAAAATTCCTCAATGTCCAACCACTATGCGGTACATACACCTGAAACTAATATAACATTAAATGACAGCTGTAATGGGAAAAGAAAAACTCAACAAATGAAACTGCATATACAAAAAAATTCCTCAAAATGCAGGCCATATATGAGAAATACAAGGTGATTTCAGTTATTTGTGGGATCTAATAAAACTGAACTCAGATAAAGAGAGCAGATCAGCAGTTGCCAGGGGTGGGGGCAGGGAACGGGTGAAGGGGGTCAAAAGGTACAAACTTCCGGTTTTAAGATAAGTCAGTCCTGGGGTGTAAGGTCCAGCGTGGTGGCTCTAGCTCATGATACCGTGCTGTGTGTTTGAAAGCTGCTAAGAGAGTAGATCTTAAACATCCCCATCACAAGAAAAAACAACTGTAACTCGGTAAGGTGATAGATGCTAACAAAACTTATTGTGGTAAGCATTTCAAGATATATACATATATCAAATCATTAATTTGTACACCTGAAACAAATACAATGTTATATGTCAATTATACTTCAATAAAAATGGAAAAAAATTAAAAATATGATGAGTTTAACTATATTTGACTTTAAAATTTCTATTTGATAAAAACAAACCAACAGTAAAAATACCAAAAGACTTATAGACAAAGTTAATTAATAGAAGAATACAGACTAAGCAAGTGATAATCTCCTAGAACAAGAGTCAGCAAACTTTGCCCTGGTGGATGTGGCTCAGTAGACTGAGTGCAGGCCTGTGAACCAAAGGGTTGCCGGTTTGATTTCCAGTCAGGGCACATGAGCAGCAACTACGCATTGATGTTTTTCTCCCTCCCTTCCTTTCTCTAGAAATAAATAAATCACCTGGCTGATGTAGCTCAGTGGATTGAGCACAGAACTGCAAACCAAAGGGTCACGGTTCGATTCCCAGTCACGGCACATGCCTGGGTTACAGGCCAGGTTCCCAGCAAGGGGCACGCAAGAGGCAACCACACATTGATGTTTCTCTCCTTCACTTTCTCTCTCCCTTCCCCTCTCTCTCAAAATAAATAAATAAAATCTTAAAAAAATCAGTGAACTTTTTCTCTAAAGGGCCAGACAATAAATATTTTTGCTATGTAGGCCATAGGTCTCAGTCGAAAATAGTGTAAAAGCAGCTCTATATGGTATGTAAATGAACAGGCATGGCTGTGTTCTCATCGACTTTAATTTCATATAATTTTGCTCACGTCACAAAACGTTACTCATTTCACATTTGTTCAGCCATTTAAAAACATAAAAACCATCCTTAGCCTGTGAGCCATATAAAAACAGGTATGGGGCTGCATTTGGCCCACAGGCCCCAGTTCAACAACCCCTGTTCTGGGACATGCCAGAAACTTCTCAAAAACGATCAAAGAAAAAAGGACAAAGGCAACAAAAAACTGAGCCACAGAGGAATCTTATCAAACATATATGGTGATGCCCAACCTCATCAGAAACCAAAGAAATGCAAATGAAAACAAGGAGATGCCACTTTGTACCAGCAGATGGGCAAAACACTCGAACATACATAAAACTGTACGTTGGTGGGAATGTGGAGAAATGGGCCTCTCAGACGGAGTGTGGCTGGTGGGAGTGCACGCAGGACAGCTTTTCCAGAGGACCAGACAGAACTTCTGAAGCTGTGCATGTCCTGTAGCCCAGTGAAGCCACGGGAGGGAACAGGAGAGGGTGGTCCCAGCCCTGTTCACAGTGGTCAGGAGTTGGGAGAGGGGGATCAGAGAGGAAAAGTGTGGCACACACTAGGGCATTAGAAGAGACGAACCAGATTTATAAACGTCAGGAAAGTTCAAAAATAGTGTGTACGGGGGAAAAATGTTTTTTTCTGAAGCACAATACCATTTTAGGAAATTAAACACACGCAGGCATGTTTTTCAAGGACACTCAAATGTCTAAATAAGCTTCTGGAAGGTGGATGGCCAGGAACGGTATTAAGTGGGGTGGGGGTGGAAATCGGTGATGGGCGTGAGTGAATGACATGGGGCAGGCATTAGCCAACTATGGATTGAGGGCAGTTTTTACAGTTTTAAATGGTTGGAAAAACAATTAAAAGAAGGATTCTATCTGGGGCACATGGAAATTATATGAAATTGACATTTCAGTGTTGACACATGAAGTTTTCTTGGCACAGAGTCATGCTTGTTCATTAATGCCTACATTGTTTACGTCTGCTTTCATGCTACACAGGCAGAATTGAGGCTGCAAGCTCATCAAAAGGTATGCATTAAAAATCTACATTTTTTTATGTGATATGCCTTAATAAAGCTGGGGGACGGGGAAAGAATGAAACAGAACAGAGTCACTGCAAGGGAGCTCATACGGTCTGCAAAGCTGAAGCTATTTACTGGTCCTCATCATCGAGGGTGAGATGAGGGTGAGATGAAGGTGAAATAAAGGTAAAGTTAAAACAATGGCAGTTTGGTTACCATGGCAGAAGAAATGTCATTAACTCAGTTTTGGGCCCCTAAGTCCAAACAAAATTGTCAGCCAGGGCTGGTGTGGCTCAGTGGATTGAGTGCCGGCCTGCAAACCAAAAGGTTGCTGGTTCGATTCCTGGTCAGGGCACAAGCCTGGGTTGCAGGCCAGGTCCCCAGATGGAGGCGTGCGAGAGACAACCCATCGATGTTATCGATGTTTCTCTCCCTCTCTTTCTCCCTCCTCTCTAAAAATAAATAAAATAAAAGAAATTGTTAAAATTTATCAGCCACGCACACCCAATGCTGGAAGGGAATTAAAGCCATGGGGGTGTAAAGCAATTTGGCAGCAGTCATCAAAGTCCTCAAAAATGCCCTTTCAGAAACCTGTGCTGAAAAAATAGATCACTGGATGTGAAGGGTCCTTTAAGGACGTCTACATGGCACCCCTGAGTGTAAAGAATGATGTGGCTGTTCAAAAATAAATAGCACATCCCAAGAATTCTTAATAACATGAGAAAATGTCCCTGGGGTAATGTTAAATCAAAATCAAAGGAATTATAAATCTTGACTTTGAGAACTGTGGACAAATCCCTTAACCCGCCTGTGCCTCAGTTTCTTCATCTATAACATGGGGATTAAAAACACCACCCCACCTCATAGAGGTGCTGGGGCTTTAAATGAATTAAAATATGAGAAGAGTCAAATAATGCCTTGGTCTATAGCAAGGGCTGCCTAAATGCTTTTAAAATAAAGAGAAATGACAAATTCCACCAGCTCTGTGTTGCCAAAGTTGAAATATACATATTATTTTCTGTGTTAAAAAAACTCGGAAGGAAAGAAGCAGAAGTGTTGGTGGCAGCTGTGTTTTGGTGGTGGTAGGTTTATGGGGTTTCATTTTGCATTCTAGATTTTTCTGTACTTCCCAAAGCTTCCATGAAGAATAGGAATTGCTTTCATAGCAACAGGTTTTGCACAAGTGCAGAGGAAGTTTCTACACCTCGGAGAGGCCCCAGGGATACAAGGGCCTTGCTGCCCCTTCTTCTGCTGACAGGTTTGTGATGACTTTGCCAGGCTGGGGGATAGGACTTTGGGGTTCTCCAGGCCTCTTGTAGCCCTACCTGCCTTTCCCAGCCCAAGGGTAAGACTGACACTCACCGTCCCTCCCCTTCAACCACAGTGAGCAAATTCCACACAGCAGAGGCTGGGTTCCTCCTTGCCTCCTCCTCGAGGAAGCCCTCTCTGACCCAAGCATCTGGCTGACTCACCTAAGTGAATACATGGTCTTAGACACTTGTCAAGTCCTCCTGATATTTCACTTTATTTCCTACATTGCTCCTCCCCAGTCTGCGAACCTTGCAGGACCCTCCCCTGGTGCTCAGGCTGTCCTGCACCTTGCTTTGCCAGCCCCATCCAATCCCAGTTTGTTTAGCACCGTGGAGACACCCATGCCTGCCATCACCTCAGGGCTGCCCCCCTGCTGTGCCCCCCTTCCCAGAACATTCTTCTTCCCACCTCTTTGCCACCCGGCTGCTCCTTTCTTTTCATATCGTGGTTCAGAGCCCATAGCTAGCCCTTGATCACCCACCATGTGTCTGGTGCCACGCTGAACTCTTAATATAAATTGACACATTTAAGCCTCACATTGATCTGGTGACACTGGGATGTCAGGACCGCCAATTTGCAAATGAAAAGCAGGGAGGTTAAATAAATTGCTCAAGGGCACAGAGTTAGGGAGCAGGGAAACCAAATTTGACACCAGGCCACCACCCCGTCGAATATGTATCTGCTTCAAACACATATTCTCTGAAATTATATTTCTTAACTTATTTGTTGCAGTGTTTTACTTGTTTATTGCAGGGGCTTTTTGTCCGGTTTGTGCACTGCTGTGTCCCTGGTGCCTAGAAGAGTTTGGTACATAACAGGTACTCTATAAACATTTGCTGAATGAGCAGACATTTTAATAAATTAGCACACTGGGGCTGGCTGCATCAAGATGGAATTAAGTGAGACACAAGGAAGAACTGTTGGGGAGGCAGTTGGCTCAGGGTGGGGACATCGCTATGTCTGTGGGTCCTGAAAGCAGGAGGCCCCATGGCTGCCCTGGGAGGCACGTCTGGAATGGAGGCTGCCTCTCAGAGATCCCGAGGCTGGGCCAGGCAGGGCCCCTGGCTGGAGGCCAGAGTTGCAGGGCTGGATGTTTGGAATAGATACAGAACAGAGGGGTGGTGCCCAGAGCTGGCCAGGAACAACATGGAAAAGCAAGAAAACACAGCTGGGTCCCCACCCTCCAGCTGTGCCCTCAGTCCCACCACGAGGCTCTGGGCACCTTAGATTTGGGGCTGGGGAGAGAACCTGGGCCCCGTCTCTGAGCCCTGCTGCAGGTTCAGGCCAGCTTTGGCGTAGACCCTGGTGCTGACACTTCCTGGCTGTGTGGCACAGGGTGAGTGCATCTTCTCCCCAAGCCCCAGTTTTCCCAACTATAAACAGAGCTGACTTGAAAATCATCAGCAGACACAGAAACAAGCACCGATTGAGTACTTACTGTGTGCGCTAATTCACAAGCACCCTACAGGTGGGGACCGTCATTATGGCACTTCACAGATGGGGAGGCTGAGGCCCAGAGAGAAGGTGCTCACTTGGGGACACACAGCAAGAAGTGGAACTTCAACCTAGGCTGCCTGGCTACACGGGTCCCTGTCTTTAGCTCCTCTGTGGGTGAAACACATAGCACAGCACCCAGCACCAGGCGGTGTCTGATAAAGAACAGCTGTTATTATTATGAATCATTCTGGCAGCTTCGCCAGCGCCCTTCGGGTGGCAGTGGTGGGGCAGCTGTCATTCTGCACATCCCACATCCCCTTTCTTGGCATGAGCAGTCAGCACTTCTCCAGCGAGCACCCCTCAGGACTTGGACACAGGAGTTGGGTGGGGCTCCTTCACGCCAGGGGCTAGGCAGTGAGGGACACAGTGATTAAATAAGCATTGGGCATATGACCCAAGCCAGCCAATGACTGTCCCCCATGAGATTTTTACTGGCAATACTTGGACTGGGGGGGCTCCCTTTTCAGAGCTGTAAGCACTGATTCCCACAGTAGTGGGGCCACCTTTGCTGGGCTGAGAGAGAAGCTTCCACGGTGCACAGAGAAAGAGAAAGAGAAAGTTAGAGATTCTAGAGCACCAGGATCCAGCTATGCCTGAAGCTATCCCTAAATTGTATGAACAATACATTTCTTTTTCATTGCTTAAACCGGTCTGAGATTGGTTCCTGCCACTTACTGAATAAACAGGGAGGGTGTTTTGTTCAGCAAACCAATAGCCTTGGGGATCCTCTCCCTGCAAAACATTCTGTTTTCTGGACACTTATGATGTACTAAACATGAGAACATTTATTTAATGGACACCCAATTTTTCAGCATGATTCCCTACAACACTGAGTTGGTGGCACAACTTTGTCCCCTTTTGCAGATGAAGAGACAGAGACTCCAAGATGGGAGTGATCTGTCTGGTGGAAGGCCAGGGCTGGGGCTGGACCTTGCTGTTTAGATGAAGAAAGGGGAGCCCTCCCCTGTCCTCCCCTGCCCGTTACGACTCACCTGCTGCCCCATCGCAGTTTCGCTCTGTGATGCTGATCTTCTTCACCAAGTGGACATTGCCAGTGGGTGCAGTGGGCGAGGGCAGCACTGTCTCCACCACTTCATGGCTTCGGAACATAGCTCGGCTCTCGGTTCCTCCAGAGGTCGCCAGGGCCCGCAGCCCTGCCCCATAGGGCTCCAGACTCTGGGCCCGCTGTGCAGGGGCCCCGGCGGCCGTGCTGGCTGCCACTTCCACCTCCCGAGGCCCCTCTACCACCCTGACGGTGTCCACACGAACTGGGCTGTCTGTCGGTGGCCAGGCCTGGGGTTGGAGGTTGGGCTGGGGGCCAGCCTGTCGGGCCTGAGCTGCCTGCAGCTCCTGGAGCGCTTTCTTGAGCTGGGTTTCCAACACCGCGACCTTGGCAGCAAGGGCTACCTCCCCGTCGGGCACACCCAAGTCCCGCTCACGAACCCAGGTGCCCACGCTCCGGGTCTCCAGTGTTACCGGGTCCTCAGGAGCCTCGGGGAGGTCAAGACAGAGCTCACTGCGGCCCCGGGACCCTGAAGTATGGCCCAGGAATTTCTGGCTCTTGAGCTGCACCGTGAGCTGCCGCTTCTCCTCCTGCAGCACGGACAGCTTCACTTGGAGCACAGGGATCAGTTTCACCTGCTCCTCCAGCTGCCGCAGCTTCCGCAGGGCACCCGCCATCTGCTCCCGAACATGGGCCAGGTGCCCGGCACTAGGTGGCACTGGCGTGGACATTCCTGAGCCCCGTGGTGTTGGGGGCGGCAGCCCCACACCCACCAGTGAGTTGGTGGAGCTGGCTGCGCTGGGGGCCAGGGAGCCCAGGCCGGTGGGTGCAGCCGCCTGATCCTCGAGGCGGCGCCTGGCGTCCAGTAGGGTGCGTTCCACCCGAGGATTGAAGCCGCCGCGGGCCTCCAGGGCGCCGTACTGCGGGTAGAAGCCGCGGCCACAGTAGGAGTAGGCAGAGTGGCGGCTGTCCCCGCTGGCGTTAGAGCAGAGCGACTCAGTGGATGTCCACCAGGAGCCAGGGCCTCGGGGTAGCGAGCCGAGGCGAGGTCGGCGCTGCACGGCCACGCGCCGCAGGGTATGGCCCTTCTCAATATCGTCCACATACTTGAGAAAGTCCAGGTCCAGGCGGTAGCCATAGGGCGTCTCCACGGAGTAAGGAGGGTCGGTCTCCTTGGCAGGGAAGCCGGGAGGGGAGACCGGGCCTGAGGTCCCTGGGGAGGGAGAAATACTGGTACCTCTGATCACTGGTGTCTTAGGTGGGAGTGGGGGAGCGACTGATGGGGTGGGGGGAGTCAAGATTTATTGCCCAACGGATGGGAGCCCACTGGGCCCTCAACTGCTCAACTGGGTCTCCAGCCTGCTCCGCCCCCACCCCACAGGACAGGGCCAGGTCTCCCTCTCAGACCCTCCAGGGCAGAGCCAAGTTGTCTCTGTTCAGGCCCTCAGGGGGGCTGTGTTCCACCCTCAATCCCGGCACCACCAGCCCCATCACAGGTAGGGCCCTATCTTCCCCCCAGCTGCAGGCCCCTCTCCCCCACTCAGGCTTCCAGGACAGGCCCATCTACCCACTACTTGCCCTCCAACCCCTGGGCAGGGCCCTATTCCTCCCCAGAGGTCTGACCTGGAAAGGGGGCTGGCACGTGCAGGACTTGGGCCATCCTCCCCTCTGCAGATGCTCCTCGAGAGTCACTGGGAGGCCCTGAGTCAGACTGCCTTCAGCACAGGCTGAGGCTTACCTGGGGAGAGGACGCGATGGAGACGGGAGTCAGGAGGGTCTGCAGGGGTGGGAGAGGAAATGTGACTACCGCCCTCCACAGCTACCCTCCCCAACACCCCTGATCTTCAAGTAAGGACCCTCTCATAGGCGCAAACCCAGCCAAGTTGTGGAGGGGGAAGTGGGGGGCCCCCCTGCGGTCTAGAACAAAGAAACCAAACCTCACAGCCTGCCTGCACATCTGTCCAGTCCCTGGAAAAGCTCCAGCTGTTCTCACAGCCCTGCCTCCACAAGGCTCCCAGGCCAGGGGCCCCAAGCTCTCCAGGCCCCATCCTTCGTGCACCCCCTTCCCTCAGCCCAGGCCAGGCGTTGGCTATCGGGACAGATGGGGACTGATGTGGGTAGGGGCTGTGGTGCTAACAGGGGATGGCTATCCTGCAAGGATGGGAGGAGACCCAGAGACAAAAAGAGAGCTACAGCTTAGGGTAGGGGACCCCAAAACAAAACTGGGTCAGGGCAACTGGGGTAGAAGGGATAGGGAAAATCGTGGGGAGGCAGTGAGGAGCAAAGCCTTTCCCCTTTATGGAAACAATTTTCTCTAAAAATAAACAGTTTCACTGCCGGGCTACACGAGAACTTCCTGCCCCCCCCCCCACCCCCGCAACATGTCCGGCTGGGGAGGGGGGTGCCCAGGAGCTAGGTGGCCCGGGAAGTCATGGGGGTGAGAGGAGGAAGAGGGGGCGCCTGGAGGCTGCAAAAGGGAGGGACAATCAGGGCCTCTCACTAACTCACCCACCCAACCCTGGAGTCCAGCCAGGGTCCTTTCATCCCAAACACTCCGCCTGAGCTTAGCCAGTCCTTCCTGCTGTCTGACTTCCAGCTACCCTGCTTCAGAGGCCCAGGCCCATCCCACCACCAGGGAGGACCCTTTCTGGCCTGTGGGTACCTGGGAGGATGGGCCAGGTGGGGCACCTGCCGGGCATGAAGACGGGGCTGCCGAGCTGTTCCTTCTCTCACACCCCACGTGTCTCTTGCTTAGCGTCTTGCTTTGCCTGTCTCCATGTCTCTCTGCGTCTCTCTCTCTCTCTACTTCTCTCTCTCTGTCTCTCCACGTCTCTCTCCTCACTTCTCAGTCTTGCAACACCTGGAACACATGGTCCAAAAGTAGGTCCAGGTAGTCTCCACCTGCTTGGAGACTCACCCCCTGCACAACCAGGTTAAAAATAATGTCTGGGGACCCGAGCCTGGAGGCAGGGAGCAGGATTGGAATAGTCTGTGGGGGCCCCTGCAGGTGGACAGGGACAGGGTGAATAACAATAGTAATAACCACAGTAATGATCTGGGTACCTGACAACACAACCAGATGGGGAATCTTGGGACACCGAAATGCGCAGCGACTTGCCCAGGGTCACTGGGCAGGGAAGTGGCTGATCCTGGATGGGAACTTAAGCCTAGCAGATTCCCCCACTCCACACCCCTCTACCCATTTCCAAGACAGACACTGAGGTCTGGGAGTCTCCAGCCATCTGACCATCCTCAGTGTGGTCAGGTGACTCCAGGTGGAGAAAGCAGATTGGAGGTGGAAATGTCTAGGGCTGAGGCCCCTCTCCTGTGGAACCCGTGGGGGCCAGGGAGGGGACACAAGATGGAGACAAAGTTAGGACACTTAAAGAGGAGAAAAAGTAGGGAGGGGGCTCAAGGAAGGAGCTCAGGGTGGGCCTGAATGTCCGACAGGGTCTTCCTAAGAACTCCCCTTGCAGACCGGCCTGAATGTCTCTGGGGTCTTCCCTCCTCTCTCTCCGCCCCAAAGTTGGGGGTGAGGAGAACCCCACCCTTGTAGGGAGGGGCGGGGCCTGCGGGGACCCCGGCTAATGGCAAACAGCTGTTGCTCCCCACACCGGCCCAGCCGCCAGGGCAAGGCCCAGCCCAGCCGGACGCCCGGTCGCCTTCCCGCCGGCTGGGGCATGGGGCCTGGCTCCGGCCTGGCTCCGGCCTGGCTCCGGCCTGGCCGCGCAGGGCGAAGGGGATGAGAGCAAGAGAATAGGTAGAGAGGGGGAGGAGGTGGGGAAATAGGGACAGAGGGGAGGCAGTGATGGGGCGGAGAGGCAGGATGAGAGATACAGATGGAAGAGAAGGACGGGCTTGCGGGAAAGACGCAGGGACAGAAGTTAAAGATGAGAACGGTGCAGAGACCAGGGGACCGAGACACTCAAAAGTCCGTAAAGTTTGGGCTGAGATGGTGGAGTTGCAGGCAGCGCCTGGTCGAGATCTGAGAGGTCACGCCCGGAGTTGGGGGTGGGGTGGGGACCACGCTCGAACCCCGATCACACTCGAACCCCAACCCGACCCCGGGTCCTACTCGCCTCCCGCGCTCCGGCCGATGCCGTCCCAGCGTCCCGCCGCCCGTGCGTCCTCCGCGCGCCGCCGCCCGGCTCCGGCCCCCAAGCTGTAGCCCCGCCCCACCCATTTGACCCCGCCCCTCAGGGCCGGCCCCGCCCCCAGTCGCTGTGGGGAGGGCAGCGGTGAAGAAATGCGGTCCTGAGGCTACGATCACACCTGGACAACAGGTGTGTGTGCGCGCGCGTAGGGGTGTCCGGCCTTGTCCCCTAGCTTCCCCTCTCCGAGTCCCCGGGGCAGGGCACCCGCATAGCTGTCCCGCCCGCCTGCTGCAGCTGGGCCGCTGCAGGGGGCGGGACTGGCCTGGCCACGGATAGCGGAGGGCGAGGAGGGCGGGCGCGGTGGCGGCAGGTCACCCCTCCCCTCCTCGGGAGCACAGGGCTGGAAGTGGCCCAGCGCAGGCCTGGTACACAGTGGCGTGACCGCGGAGAGGCGGGGAGGGGACTGGGTCAGTTCAAGGCTGCACAGGCCGAGCCGAAGGCCTGGACTCCCTGGCCAGCCAGACTTTGCTCCAGCCCCAGCCCCACCATACCTTTAAGTGCTCAGTGACTCAGTTTCTCCATCTGTAACATGGGGTTAAGAGTGTGTCTGACACCACTACTGAGGAGACTCACTAAGGACGAGGCAGGGGCCTATCGGAGTTGCCTTGGGCAAAAAGACCCATAAATGGAGCAATGTCTTTCTGGGAGCCTTTTAGTACAGGGCTGGGCACTCAGCAAGGGCTTAATAAATGTTCCTTTAAAAATAATAATAAATGTTACTCTTCCCCAAGTACATATGTGACATTTTGTGTGTTGCCTTCTCCACCCACAAGGGCAGGCATTTGTGTCTGTCATCACTGCTCCGTCTCTGGCACCCGATATGGTCTCAGTGTCTGTAGATCAGGGTGTGTGAACACACTGTGCACCTGGCCCCCAGGGACAACACCACACAGGCTGCTCATAAAAAAGTTTTAAATTAAAAAAGGTAAGAAGTATCAGTGCACAGACAGGAACAGAGGGCCCAGCCCCATGTGCATTGTGGTCACCCACAGTGGGCAGCCAGACAGACTCCCAGAAAGGCACATAGCTGAGGCCAGGGTGCGGGTTCCTCTGGGTGTGGTTTCAGGCCATGAGCTCAGAGGTCCGCCTTCCGGAAACTTGCTCTGTTCAAGGAGTTCCTGGGGGAGGAATGAGGTAGGTCAACATGGACACTGGGCCCCAAACTCCACAGTGCTCAGTCCTCTCCCCCCTCCTCCAGCATAGCTCCTTCTGGAGTCTTCTCTGCTCCTTTCACATCCATTCTGATCTGGCTGTGGATTCAGATTCTCTCCTGAAACCCTCACCAGAAAGTCATATCATACCCATTTTACAGATGTAGAGACCGAGGCTCAGAAAGATGAAGTTGCATGTCTGGGAACTGACCCACCAGGATCCAGAATGGCTACCCTACATTTGTATACAAGTCCAAGTAGTCACATCCTTGTGTGCAAAGCCAAGTACACATGTTGATGTGCACGACAACCCCCAAACTGCGACTGCCTCCTCTTGCCCTCTCTGGGTGTGGGGGAGCCCAGGTCAGGCACCTGAAGCTGGCTGTGGTTGGTGCCAGCAGCTGGGGCAGGCGCTGGGTGAGCAGGGGCTGCAGAGCCTCCCGTAGGCGGGTATAGTTGCGCTCCAGCTCACGGTGGTACTCCTTCTGGTCCGGCCCAATCAGGGCCTTGTTCTTCCGCAGTGCGTCCTCGCACCTGAGGGCCAGATGGCAGAGTGCTCAGGGACTGGCACTCGGGAGAGAAAGCAATACCAGAGAGGCAGAGGAGTCCATGAGGTGGGGTCAGGAGCTAGAATGGGGGGTAAAGTAGGCAGAGAGCCATGATGGGGGTTGGAGGGGCTCTAATGGGCGGGGTCAGGCCTACTTCTTGCAGAAGTCCTTGAAACAGAGCCGTAGCTTGTTGTGATGCCTGAAAAGCTTGGGATCTTCCGGGATCTCTGCCAAAAACACCTGGGCCACCTCCAGGGGACCCTGTGGGGTGGGAGGGCCTTGTGAGGGTGTCTGCATGGACCCTGGGGGACCCTGGGCAGCCTGCATCCCCTCCCGGCCATGCCTGGTTCACAGTGGGCCCCACAGAGCCCTGTAGCACCATCTGCAGCATCTTGGCATCGGGTGGGTCCTGCTCAGTGGCAAAGGCCAGCTCCCGTGTCTTCTTCTGCATGTCCTCGATGGCCACCTCCACTGGTGTCAACACAGTCTGCAGGGTCAGGGGCAGCATGCACTGGTTGGGGTCTGAAGACAACCTGCCCCAAGCCAGCCGAGGGCAGCTGGTGTGGGAGGGGGGTCTAAGTGGCTGTATAATGAACGGTGTGTTGGGGTTCCTGCCTGCCCAGGTCCGCCAGGGCCTGGCTAGGCTGCCTTTGTCTGGCTCTGGTGCCTTTGGTCTGATTGAGATCCAGCCCTTGATCACTTGGGTCTCAAGGTAGAGGTATAAGGCTACAGACTGGGGTCTGGAGGTTGGAGTTGGGAGTCCCCTCACCTCTCCCAACCCAGGTTCGGGGCCCCTACCTACCTCCTCCCGGTGGCACACGCGGATTCGTGTCTTGATATAGGGGAAGGCATGATCTGTGCTCAGCAGTGTCTTGCGCTTGTGTTGCTCATGCAGCTCCCCATGAGCTCGGCCGTCGGGTGTGAAGGGCGTGCAGAACAGGAAGGTGCGCAGCCCGTAGTTGCGGTCGAAGTAGGTCACCCGGTCCTTCAGCTCATAGGTGTCAAAGTGTGGCTCCACATACGTGATCTGGATGTAGGCCTGGGGTACAAGGCTCAGGGATGAGGTTCCCACAGCCCCAGCATACCCCCCTGGGGCTGGCCAGCCTCCCAGCAGGGCTCCATCCCTGGAGAAAGGGGATTTGGGCCTCCATGGCTCTCGGGGTTTCCATTCTGGGATTCTCAGGTCTCCTTATGTTTGGGGAATTGCCTAAGGTTAAGAATTTGGGGGTCTACCAGGGAGATAAGCTTTGTAGTTTCCCAGAGAAATAGAATTTGAGGATTTCCAAGAAATATTACTAAAAGTCTCGCTGACTGGAGGATTTTGGGGACCCCAGGGGACAGTTGGAAGCCCTCACCTTCTGGGGATCAAGCTTGGTCTTGTCAACAGGATTGGAATCTTTGACAATCTCGACCACGTCTTCCCCAAACCTCTCCGTGTAGAACTCCTAGGGACACGAGGCTGAGCTGGGCTGTGCAGGTACAGCCTCCACTCCACCCCAGGGCAGCCTTGTGTCCCATCCTTCTCCCCACTGCCCAGACGTGCCTCTAGCCGGTGCGAGATCTCAGCCAGCTTCGTGATGGATGGCTCCTTGTATACAAACTCCTGCTCGTCCAGGTCACCAAAGCGGGCACCATAGAAACCCACACGGAAGTACGTTCCAAAAACGCGCTGGGGCTGAGGGAAGGGATGTTGTTGCCCAGGAGGCCCCGCTGGAGGCCCCCTGCCCCAGATATGGAAGAGGTGGACACGGGCAGAGGGAATCCAGAGAACTTTGGGTGGGGATGTGAGGACCCCAAGAACATCATATCACAGGCACTGGCAGGGGGGACCTCTTGAACATTGGGGCATGGACCTAGACCACTGCCAACTACCCACACCCTTGCTCTCTCTCTCTAGCCTCTGTCTCCTACTCCCCCAAATCTTCCTCTTCATTTAACTCAAGCCCGTACTTTCTGCTTCTCCCCCTCACCCCATGCAGTTCTTCCGAGTCTGGATCCCAACA